CATGTCCCGGTCGAGCTGCACTGAACGTCGGCTCCGGTGACTTCTTCTGCTCGTGTGTCACAGTGTTGTGTTCGTTCATGAGAACATGGCAGCAGCCTCGAGTGTCGTTATCTGCATCTCAAGTGGCCTCAGTCTATCTGCTTGCAAAGCGGACTTCGGATTGCTCTTCTTGGACGTACTTCATCATCCTTTGCGGCTGGAAGGCGTACTTTATGAGCATCTTTCTCTGTTCAGCGTAAGTAGCTTCTTCATGGACGCGTCATTTGGAGGGGCAGCGTAAGTGGGGATGAAGGCCAGTAGGGACATACAGCGGAAACTGCTTCGTACGTGCAAGAATTAATGGAGCGCAACTTCTAGGCAGCCAGAAACACGCACCAATTCATTTTCGATTGATTCGATGAGGGATGGGTAAACTGTTCATTGGAATGCGTCTGATGAACTCTGCGGCGGTTTCTTTCGTGCACAAATAGCATGTAGACGGCGCGTCGAGATCTCCACATATACACGATTCTTGCCAGGCTCTGCAGATTCGAGGGCATCGAACAGTAGAGCGCGGCGTGTGGTTTCGACTGGCCTAGACATCATAGATTGCTATTGTCGAGTGCCCTCGCGAGCCGTTCGAGCATGGCGGACGTCTTGACGAGGTCGTGGAGACCTAGTGACCAGTCGCGTAAACGCGCCGGGCCGATATCCGGCGGAAACTGGTCCTTGGCGCTCGCTTTGCTCATTCAATATTCAATATTCAAACATCTACACATTGCAATTGGCTTTTGGACTTCATTGATTCATTCCCATTTACGATTTGGCTCTGTCTGCCTCTGGCAAGGATATTTGGAAACCGAAACCTGCCACACAGCGAAGAGGGATCTCAGCATACAATACTATCCGTATATACAGTATTTCAAGACAAATTAGTGAGTAACACATATGCATAATGATACCATGAGCATTAGATTAGAGCACAACAACTAACACTATGCTCTTTGACCAGACCGTCCGCGAGGCACGGAAATATCCCTTTGTTAGAATCACAGCTGAAAGAACATGAGCCCCCGTCTTCGCAGACGAACAGATTAAAACTCACGCGAAACAAGAACTGAAGCTACATTCCCAAATTGATGAGCAATGCGTCCCTTGTGAAAGCTGGAATGCCACTTACATCCTCTGGTGTCAATCGACCCATTGCCTATAAGATTGCGTCAGCGCGATCCCAATTCTAATAAGAACAAGAGGCTCACGGTTTCATCAGGCGACAGCGTCGCGTCGACCATTGCCGCCTTCTTGTCCTGAAGCTGCACAATTCTACTCTCTATGCTATCCTCAACGACTAGCTTGATCGCCTTGACCGGTCGATGCTGGCCCAACCGATGAATACGATCCATCGCTTCTGTATCAGACGTCAGCGCATTGCAAACCAATAAGGGAGGGAGAGACGTACGGAACTCAACAGCAGGGTTCCACCAACTGTCCATCAGGTACACCCGAGACGCCTCCGTCAAGTTAAGGGCCACACCACCCGCCTTTAAGCTAACCAAGAACACGGTCACGTCTACGTTGTTCACTGTGCCCAAGCGTTAACATCCTGTCTCCCTGTTCGCAAAAAAGAACGCACTGAAATGCTGGATAGTTGCATCGCGCGCTTGCGGGCTCATCGTTCCCTCCAGCCGACATATCTAATACCCTCAGTCTAGTGGCTTCGTGACTACAAGCAATGACGACGCACCTTGAATCCCGCGCGCTGCAGTCGGTATGCAATCAAATCCAAGAAGCTCACAAATTGACTAAACACCAAGCTCTTAGTCGTCGCATCCTCCAACCTCAGGTTTGTCAGTTCCTCCAACAGGGCCTCAATCTTCGTCGATGAGCGCCAGCTAGCCAGATCCAGCCGCCCAAGGATTCCCTGTCGCGCAACCACCTGGTTCTCTCCGAGATCCAGTGCCGGCGCTTCCAAGTCTATCGTTAGAGGAAGATGGCATACAGGGCAGGCGGGTGTGGTTCCCACGTCAGTTTCCATATACTGTCTGATGCATTCGCGGTCGAAGATATGGCGACACCGGGACTGGATGGCGTCTTCAGCGACGTCGTTGCATAGTCGACAGACGGTTCCTTCATCCTGGTCCTGAATGAACTTGTTCGCGTTGGTCTTGCTCCGAATGACAAGGTCAGGGTGACACGCCATTTGGCGCATGCGGGTCAGCCTGTAGGAACATTAGCGTGGACGACGAATTCGTCAAAAGTGACCCACAAGCTGAAGATGTTCGAATAGTCTACAAAGGCGTCAGTTTCCGGCATTCAGAGATTTAGGGTACGTACTGTTTAACACCGTGCCAGAATCCAGATAGGTGTTGAACTGCCTCTTCGCATCAGAGAATAACGACAGATAGAGCTCTTTCTCTTCCGGGCTGAAATAGTCTCGGCGCACGATGACAGTACGAGGAGGGAGCCCTAGGTCATCCGCCCTCTGCAACTTCGTACGCCGAAGCATCATCCGGTCGAGCAGAATCTTGAGCTTCTTGAACGCAGGCTTTCCAGGACCAACAAAGCCATGATTTTGGATAGGCGTCAGGATCTCATTATTCCAGAAACAGGTGTGTTGCATTGGAGAGTGGCCGCAATCTACGTGCGTTGAATACGGGAGTATGAAGAAGGGAAAACGCCTACCGTCGCAGCTTCGCTTGTCTTGGAAACGCCAGTGCAGAGACTTGCAGTCACAGCGCTTGCCTGAAGATGGTCAGTCTAGGCCCAAACTAGGGTCGAAATCCTTACAGAAGTAAAACGAGAACGGGTCGCCACCCAAGAATCGGACCAAACTATACAGCTCGCCCACACGGTTTTGCAAGGGAGTACCCGATAGACACCATCGATACTTTGACTTCAACTCGAAGGCTGCCTTTGCCGTATTTGTCGAACGCTCTTTGATGTTGTGGGCCTCGTCGAGCTGCAGGTTGGTAAGCTCCTGGTCAAAGATGTTGAGTTATCACTGACAATGATGCGATTCCATTCGATTTGATGAATGGGCGACTTCTGGGTGATCATGACCCGCTTATTCCCTTTTTGACGCTCGAATCCTTTCTCCTGCTTACGGAAGGAGCTCTCAACGACGGAGTATGTGCTCAATACCTAGATAAATCAACATCAGACGCCAGACCAAACATACTCAAAGCTTACCACGTCGTATTTTTTTAACTCCTTGATGTCGTTCTCACGAGACGCCCCGTGCCAGACGAGGACCTTCATGCCGTCCGTATGGGTTTGGATTTCATTTCTCCACTGCATAATAGCGACAGTTGGGCTGCAGTTGTGATCAGCGATGGTTCTGAAGGACAGACGGACAACGCACGCAATGATGAGATTAGGTTTGTTTCCATCCGAAATGAGGAGCGAGATCATCTGGATGGTCTTGCCCATCCTATCAGCTCGTCAGTATGGCGGTAGCATATGGATCGTATGCACAAACCCCATCTCATCAGCGAGCATACCGCCGTGCCAAATACCTCGCTCTTGCTGCTGCATCCAGTACAAACTTTCTCGCTGAAATGGAAGCAGGGTCAGCTTCAGACTTGGCGGTTGCTCCGACTTTCGAGGCTCGATAACAGCGATGTTGGCTTCAAGGTCACCCCAGACGTCTACCAATTCCGGATGGAATGTGTGGAGAGCAATGGTTGTCTTCTCGGCCTGAGGGTGATTAGACAGTGTGCAGCAGTCTTTTAATACTCTTACATGAGTAAGCTTGCGTCCCAATTTCTTCTTAAGAGCGCGCTCCTCTGGGCCAACAAGTTTTTTAAACGCGTTCTTCTCCTTGGCCGAATCTCGTCGACCCTTAGCCAGGCTTCCGAGTGTTACAATTCGGCCAGCGTCGGAGCTTGCAACCTTCGATTTGCCTTTCAACTGTTTGAGAGGCACGTCAGACGCATCAGATTCGTCTTCGTCTCCGTCACTGTCTAGCATTGCGGAGTCATCGACATCAACATCCCCACCAGCGCGAAGCCTCCGCTCGGCCGCAGCAGCACGAAGTTGCGCCGGAGTTGGCTTTCTCGAAGAAGATCCTTGGCCGGTTCGGGTAGCGAGCGAGTTGGCTACTGCGACATTGAGCATGACTTCCTCGTCACTAGCTTCGTCTTCAGATGCTGATGCCCCGGAGTCGACAAACTCGTCTGAGCTCGAATCTGACTTGTAAACTGAACGCGATTCATCATATTCAAGTTGACTGTCCTCATCCTCGTCAACAGGTGCAGAGGCCTTAGGGCGCACAGGAGCCTTGCCTTTGCCCTTGGACACCACCTACAGTATATTATGAGATCCCAGTAGCACATGAGAAAGGACTGAGGGACAGGGAAGTTGAAGGATTTGACCAAGGAATAGAACTGGGTGGTTAATGATGACTCACGGTTTCAGCCTTTCGCGCGGGGACATGGACAAAGGCGCGATTCACAGTAGCACGGCGCTTGGGCGGTGGTCTCTTGACCGCGTCGTCGTCATCATCGCCGTCTAAATCATCGCTGTCGCTGACAGCTTTCCTCTTCGAGGCTCTTGTAGCGGCTTTGCCTTTGCCTTTGCCAGCTGAGCTTTGCTCGTCATCCGAGGTCGGTGGACTGTTTGCCGCTGAATTGACACGACTGAATATGGGAGTCCCGGCGGTGGACGCTGTAGTCGAGTCTTGCAGGCGTGCAGACCGCCGTGTCGACGACGCCATGGATGTCTAAGACCAAGTTATTGTACGCGTCAAAATTGGTGACTGATCGGCCCCGAAGACACGGATTGAATTGCGCCGAAGCACGTGCCCTCCCCGCGTCGCGATCGTGCGATACGATGTGCATTGTGCCTGCGATGTGGGGAGTCGAATGCGGACGCTATGTTACTGTGTTCATTTAATCTACGCTATATAGCCATTTTCTACCAAATGAACTCATCGAAGTACCGTATCTCCAAGCCGTTGACGCCAGAGGGTAGAGGCAACCAGTGCGTTTTCCTTGCTGTGTTTTTTGCACCACATGTTCGCAACGCCAGTGGTGAAACGGTTATCATGCTTGCCTTCCAAGTGCTTCCTCGAGCGCCAAACGGTAGCAAGCGGCGGGGGTTCGACTCCCTCCTGGCGTAATACTTTAGATTTCTTCGCCGTATTTTTTTGTGCTCACTGCTCAACGTCACAAATGCAAACCAAATTCAAATGTACATTTGAATTTTTTCAACTGTTCAAATCAAGCAACTAATCGAGTTTCAATCCTTGCAGTCTCAAGCGTCCGGTTAACCCAATCGAAAGTCTTTAGTAATATGTAGTAGGGCTAAGGGAATCTAGACGGGTTTATTTCCCCCCTCATCATGATCTGAGGACGCACCCTTTATTCATAATGACTGATGGGTTTAGTCTACCACCTGGCGCTCGTCCTCCGTCTTGTTGAATCCTCCCGTGAGTGCTTTTATCAACATGTCCCCACTGATACTTCCTCCAGTTCGTCTATATGGAATGGTGTCTACAATGTCACGAACAGCACCATCTTTTGCGAGGTCGTTGTCCAATGTGTCAAGATACGCTGTTGCTTTACTGCAGTCTCCCACTTGCACAAATTGTATCCCCAGCTGTGAGATCCAAATCAGCGCTCATTAAACTTACACAGACGGGCTCGATGACGCGAATGCTAACCTGACGAAGAGGGCACCCAAGCTTTTCGAGTTGTTGTGACGTTCGAACGATTACTTTTGTCACGTCCTTAGGGTCCGCTAGATTGCAGTGAGATTGATTACACTGTAGCAGAATAATAAACGTACATGCTTCCCCGTCCGTGATGATCAATACGTTCAAATATTTAGAAGGACGCTGCGCGAGTGGTGTGACTTGTGGACACAGCGTTCGCACGTATTCACTCAGAATATCATCTAGCTTGGCCCCAATTGGCGTGCCGCCTCTAGGACGATTGACCTGGGAGAAAAGCGCCTTCGCCTCGGCCGCTGTCTACAAAAAATCAGCTTGGATGTACCACTGACTTAAGTGCAATGTCAACATACCCTTATTCCTCTCCCTACGACCAGGGAATTCAAGAAACACACCTCGATTCCGTCGCTATCGTATTCATTCGCCCGTCCTGCGAGATCACAGAGCGCTGCTTTAGCCTGATCCCACCGTCTTCCCTCCATGATTCCTGAATCGTCGACGACAATGGTAGTATCGTACCGGCTTTGGAGAGTTTTGAATGCAGTATCGAGACGATGTTTCTCCTCAGATTCGGTTTCGGAGACTGCCTTTCCTTTGACGGGAAAATGATGAAGATCAACGTCGACATTCCCACCTACTGCGATAAGTACACCAATACAATTCACGCTAGCAAGAACGCACCTTCGAAGTACCCGGGAGGCGGACCCAAACTCGACACAGCATCAAAAACGCCTGGCGAGTATTGTGAGCCAGCTGTATGAGCTGTGAAAAAGACGAGCCCACCTCTTTCACCGCTACGCCTTGCGAACCTCTCGAGAAATCTACGCATGACTTTCAAATCAAACTGTATCTAGAGGAGAACCAAGGGTGCATGGCTTGACTAGAAACCTAGCCTCCCTTTATACCTTTTGGCAAAATGCTGTGCACGAGAATCCGTCGACAATGTTTGAGGAGATTCCGCCAGGCTAACGCGGACGGCATGTTGCCTCACCAACGAAGAGCAATGCAGTGCCATCTGCGTAACGATCTACCTTCACGAAAATGCAGAAAGTGGAAGGTTAGCATAAGGTGGCATTAATAGTAGAATGGCTTGTGCGTCGCAACGACTTTGAGCCTGATGGCTAACCCAAACCTTGCGTATTAGCACCTGTTGAAGGCTTTGGTTATGCCGCCATTGTGAAGCTCTACATACCGCCGGAAGTCAGTTGGCATCAAGAGTACTTGGAATTTCGATGGCGAATGGCCCTGAATCAGACTTACGATGTCCGTCCGCAGGTTAGTAGCAGCTGTGACATACCAAGCTAAAAGTTACCTCCACGGCTGAGGCCTGAGGTGTGTGTAGCTGGTTAATCATATTCCATTTAGCAGTTCTGCTGCTTGCAGCTGTGTGCGTGTGTTGGCTCCCCTTTTGATTGGTTAGCTACAAGCACTGCGCCATGGCAATGAGTCAACCGTCGACATTAGTACGGTTGAAAGAAGGTGATTTAACAACAGCTTAGATAAGCGTGATCGCACCTCGGTCCCACTGCTATTCCGTTGCCTACATGACGGTTCGCTGGAGTACAAAGCTCTTTACCGCTGTTGTGAGAACTGCAATCTGTAGGCTGGTAGCCTCGACTGACTCCCCTATCAGGGATGCCATTCATCTGTGCCGTGGTACTTGAGTCGCTACTCACTAGTTAAGAACTACCGAGACGTTTCCGTTCGGTTGTCGATCCCGGTGAACTCGACCAAAAATTAGCATTCTGATCCTGGTCTTCCGGCTCGAGGACGGGTCCGAACCTGAATCTGATGGTAGATCGACGGAGATGGTGGCAACTGTACGTATCCAGTTGTACTGCCATGAGAAGGCGTGGTAGCAGGAGCAATACTCAACGGCGAGCGACACATAACAAGAGATGACAAAGTTGCCCCCGGACAGTATATAATTTACAGTAAAATACATCACAGCGCAACCAACAGGCGGAAAGCATGAGGATATTCGAATGCTGGGGGTCGACTGGACATGATGTCTTGATAGCGCAAGGTGTGTAGCAGACGGGACCTCTACAAGAGGTCGTAGTCGTCGAGCTCGTCGTTGTAGGCCATAATTGTGCGCTTGAGTTTCGAGGTATCAACCCAGGTGACGAAATCTTCCATTCGCCTGTGGAAAAATGCGATGAGAGGCGTGTTCTACCAGGTAAAAGGCGTGCATATACCTTGTGACAAGGAATGCTGGATCTGTGATTGTGTCTGGGCCAACGCGGACATGGCCTTGCTCTATGAATTGGGCAGCCTGTCGAAGATCAGAATAAAACAACATGAAATCTTGGTCTACGCACTGCAGAGACAGTTTCTGCCATTTTGCTCATGCACATCACCACCGCTAAACGGCGACGGCAGAAAGCTGATACAGTGATTTTTTCAATATCCGATAGCTTTGCAGTAGAGTTGAGGATGCCCATGTCGTAGAGTTTGGCTAGCAGCTGTGCTTCCATCCGTGGACGGTATGGATCTTGGGCTGGGAGAAGGGATATGCGGTGACCAAAGGACTTGAGCTGTCCGCAAAGCTTATTGTATCTAAGAAGGTGTCAGAAAAGAGGTTGCACATTTTGAATGCGTTGCTTGCTTGTGGTAGTCTTCACGGTCTTGGAGGTGGTAGCGGCGCATAACCTTGATTTCTCGAAGATTTGCATCTTGTTTCCACTGCGCCGAAGGTTAGTCAATATATGAAAAACAAGACTGGATACGCACGTTGAGGAAGTCAACCTTCTTGAGCAGCTTCTGCTCATGGTGCTTGAATTTTCTGACCATCGGGCACCGAGTAGATGATGGTTTCGGACAAAGTCACGGAGGTGACCCACGTGGCGGCGTTTAGCAAAGAACTGTCCACTTGTTTGGCCCCGTTCTCCACATTTTCCCTCTTTCCACAGCGTTGTCGTCGCAGCAGCCAAACGAGTACTGTTGTCCGCCACCAACAGACGCGCCATCGATTTCTGCCCGCCCTCCGCCGTCGTGCTCACCGATCAGCCAAGGATTCCTCTTTTCTTCGGCTCATCATCGACGTTGCGTCCCGACAAACACAAGCCGGTAAATGCGCATAAACGCAGGCGGCCTCTGAATACATGAACCCCCATCTTCGGCAAGATAATATGCTCCGCCAGAACATGCCCGCGCAACCGATGATGAGCCCTCCAAGCAACCCTTACATGGGAGGACAACAACCTGGACCTCCGCAACCAGGAATGGGGATGCATCCAAATAGTGTACCGCCAATGGGCATGCTTCCAGGCGCACCCAACGCAAACCATCACCAGCCACGGTTCCCAATGCAGCCCGGTCCGGGCGGCGCGCAGCTGGGCGCCCCGTCGCGCCAACAAGTGATGATGCGAAATGGTCCAGGCCAGCAGCCGATGAACCCAGGAGCGGGTCCCAGTCATATGGTGCGTTGCGCCACCACGCGTCATATATGCGCCCTCATACTCACCGCTGTCCAGAGTGCGCCATTTGCGCAAATGCACCAACAAGGAAACAACATTCCTGGGCGACGTGGTCTTCCTCCAGGAGCTATTGGTGGCGCCGGCCCTCCTCATATCGGACATATGTCTGGTATGCAGTCACAACAGAATCTACTCGGTCAAATTCGCAACCCGCCCCAGAGCATGTCGGCCCAGCAGATCCGCGGCGCTGGTGGCCATATGCCACCGGACATGGGGATGGCCATGGGCAGACCAGGCGGAAATATTCCCCAGAACCTCGGACGCACTCCCTCGATGATGAACGGTATCGCGCCCCCGCCGACGATGGGCCCCCAGCCGTCGAATATACAACCAGGCATGCATCAAGGCATGCCACAACAACATTCGCAGTACAACAACCCGCGGACGATGGTAGGCCAAGGCCAGCCGATGTCTGGCTCCCCTCGCCCACAGTCTCAGCCGCCGATGAATATGGGTCCGGGGCCATCAAATCGCAATTCGATGCCTCCCATGGAGCAGCCCATGGAGCTTTTGGACTTTGGTCCTGCACCGTTCCAACCGGGCGCCAGCATGAATGGCAATGGATTTAACTTTGTACCCTCTTCATCGCCCCCACAGCAGCATGCGGGACCGATGGGGCGCAATATGCCACCGAACGTTGGCACAACGCCTCCTCGCAGTGGCGGTCCCGGCAATTCGTTCTTTACTCCTGCCCAGCAGCTCGCGGAACAGCATACGGAATACACCTTTGGGAATAGTATGGGGCCACCGCGCCCGCAGCCCCAGCACAACATGCAGTCAACCCCGCACCAGCCACCACAGCAAATCCCGACACATTCATCGCCCAATGGAGACCCTCTGGTACCATTTCCCCCGCAGCCGCATTCGCGACCGCAATCTCAAACTGGCCAGTCGCCGTCGTCGCATGGGATGCGCTCCATGCAACATATGCCGCCTGGCCATCCGATGCACAGTGCTCCAGGTCCTCC